CCTTCCCTTCCCTTCCCGTCCCTTCCCGTCCCTTCCCGTCCCTTCCCGTCCCTTCCCGTCCCAGTCCCCATTCCGTCCCCATTCTATCCCTTCCCGTTCCTTTACCATTCCGTCCCGTCCCGCTTCGTTCTGCTCTGCCCTCTTCCCTTTCCTTTTTACTCCCTTCCCGGTCCCGTCCAGACCCGTCTCCCCGGGATACCCACCATAGGCACCTGCCCGAACTTCTTCTCGTAGTGCGGTCCTCTCTTGCTCTTGAGCTTCTCCAGCACCTCCTGCAGCGCCTCGATCTGTCGAGAGACCACAGAGCCGCCGTCAGACCGTGCCCGGCCCGGCGGCTCCCCCGCTCCCGGCCCCGGCCCCCTCCGCACCAGCTCCTTCTCCCGGGAAGCGCCGCCGCCGCCGGGCGGTCCCAGGTCGCGGGCGCGGCGCGGCGGGGTCGATCCGTGCCCGCGGGCACTCAGCAGCAGCGCGGCGGCCACGGCGCACAGCGCCAGCGCCCGGCAGCTCTCCATGGTGCTGCCGCCCCGCCGCCGCCGCCGCCGCCTTTATAGCGCCGTGCCCGCCCCGCCGTGCGTCAGCGCCCACCGCCGCCGCGCCCCGACTGCCCGCACGGCACGGCTGGGCTCCGCGCCCCCCACCGCCCCAAACCGCGCCCCAAAGCGCCCGCCGTCCCTGGCCCGCGGGCCGAGCAGCGGATCCATCTCTGAGGGGGACCCAAAGGAAGGCGACCAGCCCCGCCGCACCCTGCCCGCACTTCCCTGTGCTCCTCCACAGCCGAGGGCTGTGAGCAGAGTGGGAAACTATGCCCTCGCCCCGCGGCGCTGGGGTGGTTGAGGGAGAGGGTGGGCATTGGACACACAGAGATGAAAGTGGAAATTGGGCTTGCAGACTACGGAGACTAGGCTTGGAAGTCAACACAGGGATCTGACAGGAGGGAGAGTAAGTAGCCTGTGGGCTAAGGAAAAACACGATGTGCTGGAAGGAAGAGCCATGTGGGAGGATTAGCCTGAAGGAGTGGGGGGATGGTGGGATAGTGATGATCTGTAACAAGCTGATGAAGATGTGAATGCTTGAATAAGGACAGGTGGGAACCAACCATGTGGGGAGGCTCAGGGCCACCGAGAGCAATGTTAGAAGCAGCATCAAAAGGCCCAGGATAAAAGTAACTGCTGGTACATCAAGCAGAGCTGTGAATGGTGCTTGAGGTCAAATATCATACCACTGTGCAGGTTCTTGGGGAACATCATGCACCCTGTTGCATGAAATGAGGCCACCTCCATTTTGGGAGAGAAAAAGTGCTGTTGCCAAAGGGAGACCTAGCATTAGTGAGCACATGTCATTCAGACCTTCCCATTGACATTCGATTCTGCAAACCCAGTGGCCTTGTGTCCATGAATACTCTCAGTGAAAAGATCCCTGGCAGGTCAAATCTGCCCAGGCTTCATGGCCATGGTGGTGGCAGGGGAAGCTCTTCCCATCAAGAAAAGCAGTGGTGTGCCAAGAAGAGCATGCAAGATGAAGGACAGTGCTCAGCCTTCTCCAGCCTCCTCTGGGCCAAGGCTAGGGTAAAACAGGGTCTCTGAGCAGCAGATTGTTGGCATGAGACATTTGGCCATCTGGTTGTTGGGACAAGGAGGCAGCAAGCTGGGTCTGCCTGTGAGGAGGTCTGACTTCAAGCTCATGGCTCTGAAGTGGCTATGGGGATGTTCTTAACTGCAAGTCAACAGCAGCAGGAACTGGGTTGTGTTTCCTCAGGTGAAGGGAAGATCATTTGGAGAAGGAGGACACTGGGAAACCTTGTTAACAAAACTCTCCCAGCTTGTTAATAAACTCTTAACAGCTGGTCATTTGTAGGGAAAGTACAAAGGGGAGCTAGGAACAGCTTGAAAAGGCAGTACAATGTGAACACACACACAAAGTTGTTTAAAGAAAAATTAAACAGGTCCAGGCATGTATTCTTCCAAGCAGGCAGGCATTTTTTTCAAGGGAACAAAAGGAGAGTGGTTTAACAAGTAATTTTCAACAGCAGCATTTTGTTTGAGGCAATAAAAAGGTTCTGATCCCTCTATCACGCTGCTTGCCTCCAGTGCTGCATGTTCACCTCTTGCTGTTACCTCCTCCCACACACTCCTATTGATCATCACATCCAGTAGAAGTCTCATTTGTAATTGCTGGTCAGAGTATGGATCCTCTGTCTGCATGGATCCTCCAGTTTCATTTAGCCACAGGGAAGACTAAGATTTCAGATGTCACACTGGTGGTAAACCACTCATAGCAAAATCCAAGCTTTGTTCCCAGGCTGGAGCAAAACCACAACCATGTGCAGTACTGAAAATGATGGGTGTGCCAAAACAAAGTTTCTTAGAACAGAGAAATAACCCAGGCTATGAAAAATGCAACACTTCATACAGAGAGGCAGATATATGGCCTATTCAACTTTAAAAGCAGCATCTGTGAAGCCTGACCAAAAATTCAAACCATATTTTATAGTATGAGGATTACTCATGCAGTGTTGAACACACCAGAGACGCTCAGAAAACATCACTGTTTTCTGTCTAGCTTGCATTCCAGTAAAAAGCTGAATTTAATGTTAGCTACTCCAGTAAAATTATTGTTGAGTGTGGAGACAACTACAAACTTTGCTTTCCAAAAGTCATTGTATTTGTCTGGCTACAGAGACTCACAGAACTGTACAAGATTCTGTGCCTGTTACTGTCTGCAACACACTGTCTCTGCAGACATCACTGTCCCTTATTCCCCATTCAGCCATTCTTGTACACTTGGTCTCCAGCACTAGAGGATAAAAAGTCAGCAGGATTAATATCAGCAGGATAGCTGAATATTAAGTAAGTGTCAAAAGCTAGCAGGTCAGGGAGCAGAAAAGGGTCAAGGTACAAAAACAGAAAACCACTGTCGTACAATCACAAAAAGGCAGGTACTTTCCAACAGCATCAGTAGCCAGTCATAAGACAGCTGGCTATGGAATGAGGGGAGCCTGTGGCACTTCAGAGCTCAGCTCTGGGTAATCCACATGAAATGTGATCACACCTTGGGGATGGATAGCTCTGTTGTACCTAAGCACTAATTCAAGTTTCTCAAAGCTAACTTTCTCCATGCAAATTTAATTGCACACAAGGCACAAACAGAACACTACCAATGTGCATTAGCACTTATATATCAAATAGATAATTTTGAAAGTCACACATGCTTTTCATAATCACACTCTTCCATCTTGATCAACTAATTAAGTGTACTTGTAAAAGTGGGGAAAAAATGGAGGTTTATGTTGATGCTGGTGAACAGTTCTGAGGCATTTGTGTGTGTTCTAGTTTTGCCTTGGCACAGACATGGAGTTGGATGGATTTTAGGACCACTAGGCTGTAGAGATTAGTGTCAAGCATTTGAACAAGTGCTCTGCTGAATCACAGACATGAAAATGGACATCAGACTCTAAGCGGATGCTTTAAGGCTTTGCAGGAAAACAGCAGGCTTTTATAACTGCCTTGTTAAATTGCCTTAATTTATAAACCACAGTTAAAAAAAATAATATACCATCATTGGTTTTCTGAGTCAAGACTTTTTTTTTACTGAAACCTTGAACAGTGAGGAAAATCTAAGATAAATCAGAGTTCTGCCGCACTTGAAGTAATAAGAGTCCAGAGGCATATTTGAAAGACATCTATTTCAGCAAGAGATAGCAATTCATCTTGATGAGTAACAGATTGGAAAAAAAAACATTTAAATAAAAGATGGGTTCTCAGAACAACAGTACATAGACCAATGCCCACACAAACAGTGAAGCTACGAACTCCCCAATAAACCAATGCCACATGGGTGGATGAGCAGTGGGAACAGGTCCTCAATGGCGTCTCCATTTCTGCAGGCAAGTTATCACAGACTGTGCACTATTCACATCTCATTTCAGCCCTAGAAGCAAGCTTGTAAGGATTGTGTTCCTGAGGCTCTACCTTGATGTTTGTTAAACAAACTGCCACCAATTTTGATTGAAGACCAAATTGTAGCTCCCAGGTTCCCAGCACCTTCCTAGCTGCTATGAAAATAAAAAGGAAAATGGCAATGGGTACATTTTTAGAATCCATTCTGAATTCACCATCTCAGCCCAGGTAATTTGAGAAGGAAACCCTTGGTTACTGCAACAGTCTCTAGAGACATGAAAGAAGCTTAGCCCACCTCCTTCATGGTTTCCCATTTCCTTCTGTAGCAGTGCCTGAAAACACCCTCAAGGTCACAGTACTGACTCCTTTAAATTCCTTGCAGTCAAGTATGAACCTCTTAAAGAAACCATGTCTAACTATCACCTAGAAACAGAACCAGACAACCTCTTAGCCTCCCCTCTTCTCAGGGGCTGGAGGGATGCACATAGCTCAGAACAGTTATGCCCAAGGCAAGACTAGCTAGAAGCAAAGGTTCTCAGGAAGTCTAGAGCAACTGGTGTGATGTCCTGGTCCACCACAGCTTGTGTGCTTGATATGGCACAGCTATTTCCCTTGTTCCCCAACTGCCATTTGAAAAATCAGTGTCATCCCAAGTACCACCCTTTCCAGTAAGGAAACAGATTAGCAGTTGTGAGCTGCTTCAATACTACAGTGAAGATGCTACATGTACCAGTGACAAGTAGGAGAAGTCTTGAAATAGTCACCCACAGCTTTTACATTGTGTCTGCCATCATGAATGTTATGCTCTTACATGGGCAACTACCTTTAATTTAGGTTTATTTAAAATTTCCTTTCATTCCAAGAGAGATCCTACTGGTAGCACAATGCCAATGAAAACTGAACATTACTGTTGTAATGGCATCCATGTTAAAACTAAAAAGGAGCTGCTACTGCAAAAGCATAAGACTCCTGGTGGCAGACACAATATGAGAGCTCTGGGTGATTATTTTGAGAGAGCATGAATATATCTACCATCATCATCAAATGTGGTACAAGCATGGGGTCCAACTCCTTGCTCCTGCAGACTCCACGGAAAACAGTGTTTTCCAGCAAACCTTTGGGCAGCAAGAGACAAGCTCAGTGATGAGAACACCATCACATGAGGGGCACTGCGTACCCCTCACAACTAGTGCCCCATACAGAATGCAGCACAGTAACATACAAAACCTTTTCCAAAATAGCTGTGTAGTGGAGGAGTGAGAACCACCAGTGGCTCTCTGAAGCGCTACTCTGAAGATCCTGCTCGGTAGCAACTGCTAACCAGATCACACTGATAGGATGCTAAACCTGTGATGATTAATTTCATTTACTTAACATGTTTCCAAAGCTAAGTATTATTAAGGCAGAACGCTCCTATTTATCAGACGTGTTTTGTCTCTGCTTGCACACATACTCAGAAGAAGAAATTTTGACAAATGTAAAGAACTGTCTTTTCAAATGTAACAAGCAACAGGGAATTACCATTCTCAGAAGCATCTTTCCAAACATACCTGCTTCTAGCACCTGTATCCCAGGATTAGTTGTTACTGTCTCCAACTTGTTATGATTTCATTACCAGT